TATGTAGCCCTGCTGCTATAATTTGAAAAAATATTGTTTTTATCTATAAAATTCACATAAAGACACAAATATACATACTAAACCACAATGCATTCTGTATATAACTACAGAGGAACAGAAATTTAAAAAGTTGTATGACCACACACACAAGCATTTCATATTCTGACTTATAACCCTGCTGTTCTCTGTAACATCGAAGCTTCCTGCGTCATCATGTCAAAGTCCAGACTTTTTTTAAGAGCCTTTGACGTAAAAAAAAAATTTAAAAAAAGGGAATGGTTCCGTATGCCCACGAGTCTGGCATGAAATTAAAAAAAAAAGAAAAAACTTCAACCTGAAATGAGTCACTACTGTTAAGAAACTCGGCTACAAGTGATACTTGTTTTAGTTCTGCTCGCTTCTGTAGAAATTCGGCCCCAGAGGAGCGTGTTTGATTTAAAACCAAATAGCAAAACTCACATTTAATTGCAAATGTCATATAAGCCGGGGCATTTCTAGAAGCTGGCAGAGTTTGGTGTTTGCAGTGAGATAGAGATAGTAACCTTTTAACCTGCATCAGGAATGCACCATGAACAAGTCTTTGCTGTCCAAAAAAGAAACAGCCCTTAGAGAAAAGCTAGATTTTTTTTTTCAGTGATCTACAGGTAAAAAGAACGCCTGAAGAAATATTGTGCTCCAGTCAGACAAATCAAAGACAGACTGTCCTTGGCATTTTTAAAAAACCCTACATACATAGTCTCAATAAGCAAGCGTGTGAAAGAAAAACCTAAAAAAAAAAAAAAATCTTCATTTTTTTCAAGCAATACTATGAGAAACATGGACAACTTTTGCACATCTCCAAAGATTTCAGTCGCTTTTTTTTTCTGCAAAGAAATAATATATATGTCGGTATTTTAGCAGAAAAGCATAACTTAAAAGACATCAGAGCAATATTTTTGGAAAAAAATCCTTTCCAACACTGGGCCGTTGAATTAGTACATTCAGAAAGTTAACAGTGGATTTGTTTGTGTGTGTTGTTTAAATGAAATGGTTCTTTGTACGCCAACAAATGAAGCCAAAGTGACAACCCCTGAACAGCAAGCCATTCAACCTGACTCAGAGAAACTGGAAGACACAAATCAAGAGAACAAGAAGAAGAAGAAAGACTGAACAGGAGGTCTGGTATTATGGTGAAGGCTAAAGCACGAAGAAGAGTTGCTTCACAACTTGAAAACAGTTCAAAAGTACTGTTTCATAGTTTGTGCTGTCTCAACGAGGCTTTCATCCCATTTTGTCACTCTACAACCGCAAAATTCAATGTAGATCGGTGGGATTTTATGTGATAGACAAACAAAGTAGTGTCATTGTGAAGTGAAGCAACATAAAGATCTCAAAAGTGCGGCATGCACCAGCAGTTATTCCCTTTTCTCTTGTATGCAATGGTAGTTTTGTAATTGGGTCACCAACTCTAAATACTACATAAAATTTGCCTTCAGTAATCCTCATATGTCAATAGTTTATTTGTATTAGAAGTTATTTATGCAGTTGAAAGTCACACTACACAACACCCTGAAGGCATCATAACCAAGGCGAAAGATGGTGATGGCAGTGTCATGCTGTGGGGGGACATGTCTCTTAAGCAGGAAGAGGGAATGTGCATGATTCAGAGGATAAATGGAGCTTAACACAAGGCACCTAAAAAAAAAAGCATGTTAGAGGGTAAAAATGATGTGAAAAAAGGGGCGGGAAAACAACTTTAAACACAGCCAGAGCTAAATCAAACTGAGGATCTTTGAAAACATCTTAAAAGCTGTCACTCACAGAAGCTCTCTACCCATTCTGACTTAATTTCAGATAGTTTGCACAGAAAAATGTGCAAAATTCTGAGTCGCAAGACGTGCAAAGCTTGTGAAGACAATATGCCAACAACACAAAGCTGTTATCGCAGCAAATGGTCAGTTTTAGAAAGTATTGACTCATGGAGGTTGAATACAAATTATGCACCACTCAGTGTTTCTCTGTTACTTGAAATCACTAAGGTTTGTGGCGAGAAAGTGACAAAAGGTTCAAAGGGGTATGAATAGTCATGCACGACACTATTTGTTGAGATTAGACACACAAAAAAGCATTGTATTAAAAAATAAATGAATAAAAAAGGCTTAAAATGCAGTCAGTCCTCCGCTCTGTGTGTTTTCCAACTAATTACAAAAATATTCATCTGCCATGAAAGCGTCTCAGGGGACGGGAGTGTGCCTCTGTTTGCGTGGGTCTGCATGTGTGTGCATTGGATGAGCTACAGACAGAAGGGTGGGTGGAGTGGGAGCAAAGCTGGAAAAAAAAAAGTTAACATCTGTTTTGGGTCAGCAAAAATACTTTACAGCCTGTCGGAAGGAGGCAGTAGTGACGTCTCCAAAAGGCAGCACACTTGAGTGGTTCACACATATGAAAATACACAATCATCTGTTCAGCTTGCAGACTTGTCATCTGTTCAGCCCTTCTTGCGTTGGAGTGTGCGCACACACACACACACACACACACACAAGCACACACACACAAGCATGCAGACTTACGCACTGTCCCAGTTTTAATCTGATCTTTAAACACACCGGAGATCATCAGAGATATGATCAGAGATTTTGTGATAACAAAATCTATTATCACTGCATCATGTTGAATCAGCACACGTTGCCTCAGTCCATACAGAGGGAATGCTAATGAGGATGCAGATCAGTGGTTTCAAAGTGCCTGAGGGTTATGTTATATTCTTCCGCCAAAGGAGTGCAAGCTCAAACGGTGGAGTAACACCGCCACTGAGAGGTTCCCGCAAAAGCTGCACGGAGAGAGCGACGGAGCGGGTCGCGCGAAGCACCGTCGCATGGGACTGGGCTGTGTGGAAATGGTGTAAGGTTCTGCATTCATTCAGGGAATAATTCATTTGGAGGTCATCTTTAGAATAATTGAACTCTCAGGTGATTTTGCTCCAAAAATCAACTAATGGGTCTGTGAACATAAAAAGCATGCAAAGTTTTATTTATTTTATTGTTTTTTTTTGTAAACAGTCATGGTTCAAGCATGCTGTAACTCAGTGCGCGGTAACAGCTCATTTAAAACACACTGAAGAGTGCAAAAGGTCACTCCTTAACTGCACTGTAATCGCAGAGAACCAGCAGACTGACCTCCAAATGCGCATCAGGCAGGTTGGGCACTTGAAACGGGACATTCCTCTGCAGAGTTTGCTTTAAAACTTCCCAAAATGTTGGCGGTACACAAAATAATTGTGTCTTTTCTAATCTTTTTTTTCTTTACTTGAACATGTCCTCTTGTATTTTCTCCTTTCAAGGCACAACTTTATTGTCCAATTTCATAATGAGGGGAAATTTGCAAAGCCTCATGAGATCAACAAAACAAGCCGCAAGCTCCCGCCCCTCACCTCTCCCCCCCCTTAAAAGCTGAAGCAGAATGATAAAGAGCTAAATCGTAAGAGCTAGACTAAAACCATGTTAAAGTCTTTCCATTAGCAGACTGAAGAGACAGAAAACAACTACTGTGTGGAAAACATTGCCTTGTGCAAAAGGTTGTGTGCACTATCAGAAGGTCCTACTCAGACTTGAACTTGCATTAAAGGTCAGAGAGCAACCCATTGCCCTCACTCCTCCCTAACTTACCCTTCACCATCAGATCTACCAGTAGTCTTGAACACCTTACATAAGCCCTGACATTGCAATCTACTGTCTGTTTAACCTATTGTGTTTTATTCTTATATGGTTTTTTTCTGTGGTTTTAAGAATACTGCTTAGCACTTTGGTGCACTTAATGGCTGTTTTTGAAGTGCTTTATAAATAAATTGACACTGACGTATATATGGCAAAATGATTGAAGGTTTGAAGTCGCCTTGATTTATTGATAAGTTTTCAGGCATAACCATAGCAATGATAAAAACATGTAAAATACTCTGCTGGTGTATTTTGACATCTAGTGCCAGACTAAAGCACAAAGCTGCAGTCTGAAAGAGTGCAGCTTTGACCCCCCGGGGAGGTCAAAGCTTGCGAACTTCAGAGCATTTTATATGACTGTCCTTCTGTCAGGCCGATATTGACTAGCTTTTTATATGGTTTCTGACAGATTGAAAAAAAAAAAGATGTTCAGAAAGTTTTACCAGTGACTGTCACTGCAAACATTTATTTATTTTTTTTTGACAAAATACTGCAGTTAGTTGTTAGGCCGCAACACATAAAATTAGATAATTACTGTCATTTCTCCAGCAATGTGTGAGGAAAATGATACAATTAACATTGTTTGCCCTTGCAAATGTTGTTTACCACCATCTGGGGCTGGCACATCAGCTGTTAGGATAAAAGATTTTACATCATTTTTGTGCTATTGCCCTTTTGTGGGCTTTTAATCTCTACGTTTTCTGACCCCTCTCCTCATTTCGTTTGTTTGTCTCGTCTTAGTCCTCTCAGTGTGGATGTGATCTTTGTTTATGTCAGCTGTGGTCAATTCCAGTTCGCTTCCAGATCTCTAATTATTTTGCAAAAGGCAAGATAATTGCCTTTTGCAATCTAATTCACATTGTCCGCCCTGCTTCCGGGAATCCAGTCCCTTTGCAATGAAACATCCCTGTCTGTTCTCCTCAGGCTTTCTCTGTCAGTGAAAGTGCCTTCTGAATTGTGAATGTGCGTGAATATGTCAAAATTTGATTTTCACCTCTTTTGTTAAATTACTGAAATTTAACCTTTTCAATGAGGATCCAATGTAGCAAAATCAAACTGTTATTTTTTAAAAACAAACAAATATGTATTATATATGTTATAAATAAAACAATACATATTTTGGAACCAAAATTTCAGGAATTTAAGGTCCAACAGAATTACAAAGCCTTCTGTCGTAATACCTCCGTTGTCCACAGGGTGGCAGCAGAGGTCTTCACACTGTCAGGTCTGCCTTTTCTCTTGCCTGAACAAAAAGAAAAAAAAAACGCGACGGCTTGTCGTTCTCTTTATTATTTATTTCAGATTAGAAACATAAAAACAAAAGCATAATTTTTTTAGCAAAAGATTCATATAAAATAAATGATAACAGTGTTACGTGCTTTTCTTCTGCGCTACGTCCTCAGTTTCTGCTGACGTTGGCACCGCGCTACGGGTCTGAGGCGTCTTAAACCTGAGTTGAGGAAGCTCGTTATTTACATCAAAAATAATATCTGAGGCTGCAGAGACGGCAGAATGATTAGCCTTTTGTGGTTTTGTGCGTCCATGTTGAATTCCAGCACTCCTGGCCCCAGTCCCGTGAACCCTGCTGTGGTCCGTTGTCCTAGTAATAAATGTGTGGGTCGAGAGCGGTTTGAGGGAAAAATACCTACAAAAAGCTAGTACAAAACTGGACCACATAGATTGGACAGAGACGCGTCTTTGCGTGTTTGGACGTGCAGTTGTTGGGGATGGGCGGAGGGAACATCTGGTCAGGAGAGGGGCGGCAGAGAGCGGGTGCTGACCGCGCTGACCTTCGCTCTGGATGGTGACGGAGGCGCCTGGGTGAGATGAGGTGAAGAGGGAGAGGAGTGAATGGGCCCGCTCTGGTGGTCTCTCCACCGCGCAGAGCGCTCCGAGTTGTTGGGGGCTCCGCCTCGGGGGCTGCGCTGCTGGGGAGCCGTAGAGGAGAGGCCCGGGTCAGGTGCTGGGTGGCGACCGGGTGATGGGTGGCGACCGGATAAGGAGTGACGGCCGGGTGAGGAGTGCCTCCCGGATGCGGCACCCGTGGTGAGTTTGGGTGTTTTGGGAGATTTCGGAGCGGGTTGAGAGACGGAGGGGTTAGAGGGAGCCCCCTGGCTGTGAGAGGTGGAGTCTCCGTTGTTGGCGACTTTGTAGAGGAAGACATCGTACTGAAGGGGTGGGCTGACCTCCTGGTGCAGCTTGGCCTCTTTGGGTAGCAGCACTTCCAGGCCAATGGTGACTCCATCCTGTTGAAGAAATATGGTAAGGGGAAAAAATGGGATGCAACAATGTAGGGAAAGTGAAACAAAAAGAAGATAAAATAAGGACTAAAACAGAAAAAAAACGGTTGGATTGATCATGTGACAGTTGCAGAACTAAAGAGAAAAGGTGGAGGACTGATTGTAATTGTGTGATTTTAAATCAATACAGAACTCCGTGAAGTGCAGGATTGATGCCAGGGAAAAGCTACGTTTTATTTCTAAAAACTATGACTGCGAAGTGAACGACAACAGCCTCCATGCACACCATCAAGTGCTGTTTCCGTCAGAATTTCATTGGCTAAATTTTGCAAGCAGCACTTAAGATTTCTTGAAGGTAAAAAGTTAATAAATGTGAATTTGGAAGGTATTTCCATATATATCCATAAATGAATCCTAATATACAGGAGTTTGAACTGCAGGTATTACTTCAGCATACCACCAGATGGCAACATGGATGAATCAGAGGAACTTACAACCTGGAAACAAACACCATCACCTATCATTCACAGAATGATTCAAGAACAGAATTAATATTATTTCTGTCACTAATACTGTGCTTTTCAAAAATGGCAAAAATATGACAATTTGATGTTTATCTATTTATTTCCTGAGGCTTTCATAAAATAAAGAAAACCTTCTTACCCAGGCTAGAAAATAATGTTTAATTGACAATCACATTTTATGATGTTTCCAACATCATAAAATGTGTATTGCAGTAAACCTGCAATATTAGCTAATATTGCAGGTTTACTAAAGAACAAGACAAATCATTCTGATGACTCAAATCAAGCTTTCTCTATTTAGGATTAAGAAAGGAACACACATTAGCACTGTTAGCACATTTTGATTGAAGTGTGCTAACAGAGGATTAAATAAGCATTCGCAGTTCTGGTTAGAAGTTTGACATACATAAAAGTCATTTTAAAGCGTTGCAATATATATATATATATATCATTACTTTTTTTGGAAGTAATTATACAACAAACAGCTTCAATGATTCTTAAGATCAATAATATGGTTCCAACCTGCTAGAATAAATATTTTGGCAGAATTCTTGCTGGATTCTTCCAGACTGAACTGGAGACTCCACAGTGAAGTGAAGCTGTCTAAAAGAAAGGACGGAGCAGCCTGGACTTCTTGAGGAAGATCCTTCAGTGTTTGCAGCAAGATGCTGCATACCTTCTATAAGTCTTTAAAGTCATCTGTCGGGGCAGAAGCTTCGGAGCCTGGGACCTAAAAGGGTCCAGTAATCGATGAAGAAGGTTGGTTCTGTTCTGAGGACGACTGTGGAACCTCTGGAGATGATGATGCAAAGAAGGATTTTACGTAAAATCAAGAAGGTTATTGCCAACCTTGGCCATCCTCTTTAATCAGAGGCTTCTTCAAATTTGCTGTAATACAGACTGCTACAGGAGATACCATCCTGTCCACAGAATCGACAACATCTCTTTAAATCACCTTTAATAATATGAACTACAACTTTTATTGTCCTTCAGGATTAGCAAAGTATTTTTTGCATTTGAATGTGTTTGGTATCGGCTATTGTTTGGCTTAAATGTCCAACTGACTCCATGTCTCTGCTGTCTAACCAATAATTCAAGATGAAGTTGAATAGTTTGGAGTTGGTCTTTAATTATTACATTCACTTTGTGCAATGTGTGAATAACACCATCCCACCCATACCATAATACTGCACCGCCACACATTACTGTGTTTTATGCTATGAAAGCTTTGTATTGGCCAAATATCTCACTCTTTGTGCTTTCTCAAAAAGTAAAAATTAAGTAAATAAATAAACAATTTGGTTTTCACATGTGGGAAGCTCTAAGTTTTAGTCAAACCTGAAAGTGCTGATATTGGAAAAAGAGGTTCTTACTTGGTCTGCTCTCTTAAGCTCAATGTTGATATAAAGTCACTTCACAGTAGACTAAGGTAAAATATCATTTGCAGGCTATACTTAAAAACCCAACTTGCTGCCAATTCTGTAAATGAGAGTGCCATGAGTCTTTTGTGGGGAGCACAATCTCCCCTGCCATCATTGCTGGAGGTAACGCATTAGAGTCAGTGACCTAAAGAAGCTGATAAAGAGAGAGTGGTTCTGTTCTGTGGAACACCCGGCGCTTATTGTGCAAAGAGGAAATCTTGATCAAATAAAGAACATCACTGTAAGCTGTTATACGAAAACACATTGTCTTCAGTCAGAACCTCTGTAATATGGACCTCTGCAGGTCAAAACAAAACATTGAAGCTGTTTGTTGTGGGAAAGTATTCAGATGCATCACTACCAGCCCCAACTTCACTAAACATTTATGCCCATTATGAAAGCGTGCAATCTTCTGACTGAAACTGCAGTTTATAGTTAGGAATGTAAAGAAAGACGAGGAAAGGATTTTATGGGAGTTCCTAATGCGGTCGCACTCCAGGAGCTGTCCACGGTTCTGAATAGGTTCACGCTGACTATTGTATTTCTGCTGCGTAATCTGCGAGGAGCAGCCTACTGCAGCATAAAAGTAGGGTCAGCCATGCATTCAGTTATTATTTGGTAGGGCAGGACTGAGCTTCATTGTGTGCAGACAAGCAGAAAAAGAAAAAAGAGAAAAGCGCAAAAGAGGAAGTCAGCGTCTGGGGCGCGGGGAGAGGAGGAGCTTATAGCAACACACGGGGACAAGCTGGGTAAAATGAAAAAGATTTATTCCAACAACTGTGAACCGTAACCCTCCATGAATAGCCAAAAAGGTAGAAAAGAATATCAAGTACATTAAAGATAGCAAAACACATTGAAAACCAAGACACAGCGCTTGTAATATATGCATATAGATTCAAATATCAACTCTAAGCAATTACTTTATCCTCAGGTAATCTAGACATATCAACTTATTTTAGCAATGCTGAACATTAACAGTTTGCAAATACAGATTCACTTTATTTCCACATATTTTCTTCTTCTTTTTTTTTTTCTCTTCAAATTGTACGTTTTTCAAACACATTTTTCGCTGATAACACCAATGCATGCGGGCAGAGAGACACAGTTAGGCGGGGAAAGGCTGAGGCAGAGAGGGAAAGGCAGAGAGAGGGGAAGCTCAGGGAAACAGGAGAAAAGACAATGCAGAAGTTCATTGGTCAGAAGACCAAGGCAGAGCATCAGTAGAGAGAACAGTCAGTCAGTAGTTGGTCCGAGCCAGAGATTTTAGTCCAGCATTAAAGGCAGATGAAGGAGAAAAGGAGGCAGCGGCGCCACCGTGTGATCGATGTGAGCATGGCGGCCTCGTAAACAGAGCTTATTTGTGCTTCTCGCGTTGGAACTATAAATATGTGTTGTGCTCACTTTTAACTTTAGATCTTAGATCCTTTTAGAAAATCGTACTTAGCAAGGTGTAAACTTTTATTTTATTTATGTTTTCGTCCAAAAACCTCTGTGTGTGCACTGTAGAATATTTTGGTCTGATTCAATCGCTGCACACTCGACCATGTGCTGACGTTACACCAGGTTGTTCTGGAGCATGTTTACCTCTGTGTTTTCCTCCGTGTTGTTGGGGGTGTGGCCGTGGACGACAGAGGCGGGGCGGTTGTTCTCATGCTTCGGGGAGTGGGAGTTCAGGATGTTCATGGACCCCTCCTCTTTAGGCGCGGGGGATTTGGCTTGGTTCTCCTTCTTCTGGGGCTCATCCTGCAGAGAGAGAGTCAGTTCCCGTTCAGCTCTAAGTGAGATGCGGCAAATAAAATGACGTGTAATTCAACGGACAAATACTTTCTCGTGTGAAACAAGAGATGTCCGTGTGTAATGAAATGTGCATGTCTCACCAAGACCAAACAGAGCAATTTTGCCGAGGTCTTGTTTACGTTGCAGAATCATTCTATGCACTACAAATTTATGAAAAGTGACTGCTTCTAACTAAACTAAAAGTAAAAATTGACAAAAACAGTCTAGTAATGTCTGTAGAAATGGAAATGGAGACTAGAAAACAAGTTCCCATAACACATGCAGGTTTAAATATCTCCACAATCTGGTGCATTTTAGAATCAACCCTAAATTGCTTTTATTGGTCTTTAAAACTGGATATTTGAGTTTTAAACTGTTAACAATTTTTATTTTATTCTTGACCACCCAGGTGCTCTCTACCAGACAGGGGAAATGACCGGAACATGAAAGCCAGTGGGGTTATGCAGCAGAACAACACCAGTTCAAGACACTGAATTGATTAGGAGTGGCCTAAAGACTGGAACGTATCGCAAATGCCTCATTCAGCTTTTCATTAAGTGAAAACAGTTTTTTGCATTCTCTCTGAATTTTTTTTTTTTGTGTGACAGAAGATATGTTTGATGATCTGAAACATTTAAGGGTGGCTTTCTAAAAATCTTTTTATGGTAGGATTGATTTTTCAGGTTCAGGATAAGTTTCATGATCACGTCAACAAGCGATGGAGGAAAGGAACCGTCACAAGCAATTATGAAGAGTTGTTGGACCGAGTAAATATAATTACTGGCAACTTATCTTCTGCATTTGCATTGGATGAAGAAAAATGTTGGATAAAGAGTGAGAGATCAAAAGAGTTTTATATGTTATCTTCAAAAGTCATTATCTAGGCTGACACAGAACCTTCTTATGTAATGCCTCTGGTTTATAAAAACTACCTATTAGTTTTATGACATTTCCGAAAATGCAGTCCAGACTATGAGCTTGCCGTGGCTTTTCAGCCTCTAGCCCTGACATTTGGAGCATCCGGTAGTCACGAAAGCTCATCTATAATCGCTGCAGGGAAGCGTTAACAGAGCTGAAAGAACAGACCAAGGTTGAAAAAAAGAAAAGCCACAATTGTTCACCTAGGTTTTTTCACTGCAGGTGCAGGACTTATCAAAAATAAAAAATAAAAGAAATCCATCAGTGTTTAAATTCCAACATTTGAGTTAAGCAGACTTTATTATCAGTCAAAGAGATGTGTCTGTGTTTTTTTGGGCATCTATGCATTTGTTTATGTGTCCGTGTGTAAATGTTCAAGCGTGTAATTTATTGGAGTGTCATGGACATTTGAAGGTCAAAGTCACAGCAGGCAGTAAATAGGGCACCATTGATCGGTAACGCTTTGCTGCTACTGGACACAACTCACTAAGTACGCCTTAGCATGACAGATGAAAGGTTTTAAAAGTTGAAAGCTTCATTTCTACTCTGGGTCGTACAAAACAACGGCCTTTGCTGGTATCTGTTGACTGAGTAAAACGGTCGTATTCAAGCCCAACTGCGCTGTTTTGTATGAACAACAAAGATTTGTGCACACAAAGCAGATAATAAGCCCCCCGCACCTCCAAACCCTCTGGGTCCCTCCGTTGAGATAGTAATTAATGGGCTGTGATTTGCACCTTTTTGTGTGCTGCTACAGAGCAGTTTGGTTTATAACATCATAGAAGCCCTAAATATGTTTCAGAAAAGATAAGGAGAAGAGCTGCACAAGGAGCTAAAATGGCTGCATGTGCTGAGTTGAGGGAAATGGAGGCGCTCTTGCCTCGCCGAGCACCTCGGGAAGCTGCAGGGACGCGGGTGAGAAAGGAAACAAATGAAGCAGCCTAGTGTTTAATCATCCTGCAGAGGCTACTGCAGAACACACGTGAACAAACGCCTTCCTCGCGAGAGCTCTGCCATTTGTCATTTCACCTGGCGCGTGCATCGGACTGGATTCAGGGGAGAAATGTTGGAAGTAAGGTTTTCAGCTAAATTGACAGCTAGTAATTGCACAGTGGGTGGGCTTCCAACAAGGATAGGGAGGGGAGAGGAGGCAACGCAGACCTATCCACTGGGCTTACCTGGAGGTGGTTATAAGGCTTTCTGTGGCTATACTCCCAGGGATTGGTGGTGGTTGATGGCCTCTGAGAGGTGATTGGTGGGTGTGAAAATGGTTAAACACAAACATGCTCCACAAACTATCTGTAAGTGAACATCCTAATGATAGTCTTCTGATTTAGCTGATGGTTTGGAATCATACTGACAGATGGCAAAGTTTCGCTCTCTCTCACGCACACGCACACCTGCACACGGCAGCAGAACAAGACAGATTCATAGAATACAACAAATTATTGTTTAAGCTGGCCGGGGGTCACAGGAGAGAACATCAGAAGGAAGAAGCGAGAACAAAAGATGCAGTTAAAGAGAGACAGACTGCAAGTACTGAAAACAGAGGGACAAGAGCAAACAGGAGGAGAGTGGAGGCATACCTGACAGATAATGTTGTCATAGTACGCCAGGTTGTGAGTATGAGCTTGGGGGGCAGGCGGAGGAGTGTCACACAGTTTCCTTACATTTGGCTGCGACCCGTCAGCTGTTGTCGAAACCGAGAGGCCGTCCGTCTGTGGCTCGCTGCTCTGGGGGCGGTACTTACTGCGGGAACGCAATGAGGGACACAGGCGCGACAGAAATATTTACAGAAGCGTCTTTTTGTTTCTCCCTTCGCTGCAATATGAGTCACAGTAAAAACAAACCAAAAAAAATAAAAAAATTTGATCAACACTGTGGAATGCAAAGGGGGATCGAGCACACACACACACACCTGCGTTTGCGAAGGCGCATGTTCTCGTTTTTGAGGCGGTACAGGCTCTTGGAGAAGAACACGATGATCATGAAGAGCAGGAGGAAGACGAAACAGGCCACAGCCACCACGACGCACAGCACCTGGAACTCTGTGACGGCCCATTCACAGCGCAGCCCTTTATTCCAGATGTAGTCCTGTACGTTACACCTGGACACAAAAGGATGGAAGGAAGAACAAATATGATATAAAAGCAGACAATAAGTGCTAAACAAATGCTAAATTAGCCTTGTAAATACTATCACCACTTTGTCCTTGTAGATAATGACTCCTGCTGTCATTGAGTCAGTATTCAAAGGCTGTGAGCTCATGGCATTGGCAGATTTAAAGTACATGTGTTTTCAAACCACACAGACTTTTATATATTAACATTGTGGTATTATGACAAACATTAACATTTTTCATCAAGATTTTTAAACCCGTAGAGAGTTATTATACAGTTAACACAGTTTTTGGCTTTGCCTCTTTTTTTTACAAGATCAGAGTACCTTAAAGCATGTGTTGCTTTTTTATGTTAACCTGTTCTTCCTGAAAATATCCCAATCATTTTTGGACATATGTAAGTCAATATATGTCGATATTTACCTTCATCTATTTCTCCACCATCAAATTTGACTTATTTTGCTGTTCCTGCTTCAGGAAAACAGCAGATTGGCGGTGCCACCACCATGTTTTATGTTGTTCAGGATGGTGTGCAGTGCCAGTTTTTCACCACAGCTAGTGTTCTGTTTATAAGGAGCACTTTCTTCCAGATACTTGTTGAGCTCCCTTCATTACATGTGGCAAATTACAGACAATTCTTCTCATTTCTTTCTAACGATAATGATTTTCCTTAGCCCACTCTTCCATAAACAACAGATTTGTGGAATACATGCCTTATGGTGTTTCTGTCAACGTTTATTTCACCAAAACTGTGAATCTCTGCAGCTCCTCTGGAGTCACCATGAGCAACTATAGGCCGCATCTCAAATTAACTTTGCATTAATACCTTAATTTTTGTTAATGTTCAAAGCTTCTTCACAACTTCACTCCTAACTTGTTTGCCATTTAGCACTGATGTTTGACCTTTTGCTCATCTGCTAGATTCATAATGGAATAGAAGTGGTTGCACTGGTTTTCTTTAATAGTGAAGGGAATCTGAAAGCAATAAACAGTACACTGTTTCGTCCACTACCCTTACAAATCTGAATTATGTGATGCTTTCTACCTATCAAATTAAATCCTCATAAAATACATTAAATTTTGATGCTGCCATGTGATAAAGACCGGAAGAACTGAAGTGATACAGATACCTTTGCGAGGTAGACTGCAAGATGTGCAGTCATTTTTAAAACAGGAGTGCAATAGTACTTGCACATTATGTGGTGCAACCTGGAGGCTGTCCAACAAGCAGCCTTGCTTGTAATAAGATCAAAGGATCAGAGCATGTGCATGCATACATGCTTGTATTTTAGCCCTACCTGTGCAACTGACAGCACATATCTGAATAAGGCGCCAGTCTATATATGTATTTGTGCATATGCTTCAGATCGTGCATTGGACAGGATGAGCAACAGTTTGTCTCCAAGCTGACGGTCAAACTACAGATGGGGCAGATGGTTGCAACATGATGCGTTCGGTCTTCGTTGTGTGTTGGCATTGTGCATGCAAGGATACTGTGTGTATGCGTGCGTGGGTGTGTGTGTGCGTGTGTGTGTGTGTATTTTTCTGTTGTCAGTTTGTCTTTGAGCAGGCGACTACCATGTGCTTTCTACATCTCTTACCTCAAAACACAGAGCTAATCCATTGGGGACCCTGCTGTGATCTTGACGAACCCACATGACACATTAAGCCAGCCTTCTGTCTTTGTGCATGCGTGTGTGTTTGTGTGTGTGTGCTTGCATGTAGTTCCCTTAATCTTTCCTTTTGTGTCAGAGGACAAAACATTAGCGAATGATTGCAATAAGCCAAATTAAAGAGGGGAGTGTTTTTGATCCAAATCAGAGGGGTCAGTTATCAGCCTCGTGGCAATGCTGTGTTTGCGATACGCTAAACAAAAAGCGATAAAATGAAGCTGACCTGAAGTCTTATCACGTCTCTCACCTGCAGAAGGCACCCATTCCTGCCACCACGGTGCACACACCTCCGTTGAAGCAAAAGTTTGGTTCAATGTCACACTGAGAAACACAAACTCCTGGTCCGGACAGCACAAAGCCCAGCCTGCAGCCATCTGCACCCACAGCCCCACCTACACCCATTCCGTTGTTGTTGTCTGGTCCCTGCATAGGAGGAGCTGGCAAAGATGATCCACCACTGGTGTTTGGCCTTGAGTTTTTGCGGATCACCGGAGAACCTGCCAGGAGCGGGTTCTCATCCTCCATGTCGGGTGGAGGTGAAGGGGTGGGTTCGGGTTCTGGGGTCGTGTCTACTGCTGAGACGTCGTTGTCAGAAGACAGGTAGTCGTAGTATTCAGTGAGGGAATATTTATCAGGTTCTCCACCTCTCTGCTTTTGAGCTTTGGGGGTTTTGGCCCAATCCAGAGTGACGTCGGCGGGCACAACATCTGGCGCTGGACTGTGAAACGCCACCATGATGACGTCATCAGATAGTGGGTTCCCAGGATGGTCTGGCCCCGCCCCTCCGGCTGTAAACTCCTCCCCGTGTTGGTCCTCCTCTACAAAATCCAAGTAGTGGCGTTTGTGAGAGTGGTGATGCCTGGTGGAGCTGAGTGGGAGTCTGGCACCGATTCCTGCTCCGATCAGGTGCTCTCTCTCTGCTGAGTCGTCACTGAGAACCATCCGGGTGTCCAAGGCCTCCTTGTGGACGGATGAGTGGTTGTGGTGAGGATGACGTCTGGCCAGCGAATGCCGTCCTGTCAATCGGAAACAGGAAGAAATATTTTTTCACTGCAAAGATTATTTGTATTGTGATTCCTTATTCTTGCACAAGCAAAACAAAACTCTGAGCTCTTGGTAGTGATGATAGTTTTTATCTGCCTAAGACAGACTGATGAAGGCTGTTATCTTGCAGAAACTCCCAAAGACAAACCATTGTGTGTTTTGATCAGAAGCTGCTGATCAAAACACACAATGGTGTTTATGAAATTTTCCACAGATCATGGAATCAAAATTCTACACCGTTTGTAACAATGGTGATATAGAGCTTCTTTCTATCTTTCACATTACACCTACCAGAAGCGATTGTGATTGTGGCTTCAAAGGTCTATTCTTGCCTGGCCTGATATCAAAGCCTCAAGCACACATGTCCAGTTAAAACCCCTGAAAAAGTTTTTCCAGGCTCACTATTCACCACAATCACGCCATCATCACGCTAAGTGGCTAACTTAGCCAACTCACTTCATTCACATTTGTGAGAGAAGGACAAGTCATAACTTTTACTAGTTGCCTCAAAATCTCATTGTGGTGGTAAGACAAGCCCAGTTCTTTCCTATTCTTATTTGTCACGGTTATTTTTTCTTGATCAAAATAATGGGATGTATAAAAAAGTAGCTGTTTTTATATAGACCACAAATCTACTAGAATGTAATGGTTCTTTTGTCTTTTATATTTTTAATCATTGACTTAGACATAAAGCATAATAATACCCAATGGTAGCTGGGTAGAAACCACTCCCTTGCAAGAGAATTGAATGAAATTATGTAGGAAGGCAATGGCCATGCAACAGTGAAAGTCCATCATGAATCAAAAATGTTGTATTAAAATACACTTATATTTATAAGAATTGTTTGGGATGCTAATAAGAGTTATTCTTGTATTTCTGCCTAAAACTTATTAGCTTCTTAACATGGCATTTCTAAAAGGTGGATTATTTTTCAGTAGACACTGTATGCTACTCAATTTTAACTCCATTGTATAAGAAAACATATACAACCTGACACGCAAGCTGACAATTCAGAGGAAAATCAATTGTGACTGAGTTTAACAGTCGGTGTCAGCATGACTGTGAGAGGGAATGCTTTGAGTTATGCTGTTATCTTGCATCTTACCTAAAGGCAAATCTAGGAATTCCCAAGTTTCCAACTGTGCTTTGTGCACAAGAAATGTTAGTGTCTCTTCACACCACTTAGAGGAAATGTCAGAAAGTTTTCCCAGGCTCACTATACACCACAATCACGTCGTCATCTTTGATAAATATATTTGTTTCTTAATGAGAGACGCATAGTAAAAAACTGGAAATATCTCTTAGGAATCAAATAAGATTTTTTATAGAAATAAAAGCAAAAGTTGAAGATGGAAGTGTGCAGTCTGCATGTGGTGATACAGGATTTGTTACAGTAAGTGACTGACCAATGTTCTCGGGTGACTGAGACTTGTTGAGGATTAAACCAGGATTTAGAGCTGTGGGTTAGAGACTGACTGGTCAGGCTCATCTGCACTTTGCAATCTGAGGAGAAGGACAGGGGTGCAAATAGCCAATGAAGTATTTGCACCCCTGTAAAAGTAATTTGCACTCAAATTACTTTTAAGTGTAAAAATCTACAAAAACCTTCTAAGAGACATCTATCTGATGTAGTAGGATATACTAAAATTGTGTCATCGCTCCTTGGCTAGGTCTTGCATTCTAACTCCTTCCATCCACCATCAGAAAAGTGCAATCATTAAAATGAAGGACATTCAGTTCCATATTATGGGTTACTTAATATGTAACCCTGTATTCTTTTACTGGGTTACTTGGTACCAGTAAAGAAATACAACAGTATAATTCTATTAAACACTGATGCTGATTCTTATCCTAATTCCTGCTTGGAGCTGGATGAAAAGACAGAGGGCAGCTATGACTTAGGTATATGTGCAGTCTTCTCCCAGTAGGCAGATTGTCCAGACACTCGTAGTTTCATGTCACACCATACTTGCACAGTGAATGCCACATTGCCCCCAATTTGCGAATCGGTGTGTACAAGCGTGTGTGGATAGGTGAAAGTAGTTGTGTAAAAAAGCCATATAAGTGGCCTGTAAACAACAAAACTGTTTTTCCAAGTACCAGCCATCAACGTCTTTGTCTTCTGGGAATACTTTTGTATGTTCCCACAGTTGTCTGTCATTTCTTTTCACTTTTCTTTTGGCCTACAGCTACAGACACAGCTGAACTTAGCCGAAAGGTTTGCTAGTTGGCTTGTCTTCCATTGCCACCCTCAAATTCCTTGGTTCAAAAAGAGGTGGCACCTTTCAATACATGGCTCTTTATTCAGACCTCAAACAAAAACCATCCAAACGTGCCTCGAGTCACGAAGCCCGCAGTGGCGGCTGAGAAGCCATGAGATTCACCTCACTCGCGGAGCGCAGTTGCCATGGTGAGATGTAAAGAGGTGCTGTGTTGAAAGGAGGAGAAGGGCGAGGGAACTGCAGCGGAAACAGAGAATCTAGTGTTAGTGCTCTTTCTCTTCCCTGATTTTCAATCAGCAGCCCGGCCAGTCGGGAGGTGCTGGATGCCAGCTCCATCTCTGGGAAAAGAAGGATTTGGAATGAATCTGAAGACCTATGTTGTTGTTTTTTTTTTCTTCTCTTTTGTAGAAAGAGACATTCCACGCCGACTCAGACTGACTGCAGCCGATTCAGCTCTCACTTAAGGGCTCAATCTGCCAATTTGCTCTGTTGAGACTTAGGCGAGGCTGCATCCTGTTAGCGGCTGGAACTCCTTGTAGAGAGTCCAAGAGTAAAAGGGGAACATGAGGAGATTACAAGATGCTCAAACTGAACGCACCGCTCTCCGCTTTTGCTGTGTGACATCCGTCTTTTCCAGACTGTGATTTGTGCTTTTAACTGACAGTCAGCTTTGCAACCTCTGGCATTGCATTGAGCGAGTCACCATGGTAACGAGTTCCACCTGAGGTCATTTTGATTGTTTCGGGGGGGAGAGTAGATGGAGTGACACCGGTTTTAAACATGGGGGGGGGAAGAAATATGGTGATAAAGAGACACAGCTGCAAAGTTGTAAACTAAAAATATTCAAGAAGGGCTAAATGACTCAAATTAAAAATTGAGAATGCAATCATGATTTATTCAGAATTTTTGTTTCAGGCATTTTAAAATGACTCTATCCATCATCTCTTGTGGATTTCTTGCTGCTTATTAAGCTATAAATACCATCCTGACCTCACCTCCTTCAGTGTGTTTTGGTGTGAAAGATGGAGACGAGCTGATCTATTCTGACATATCGTGAGCTTTCTAGGGCTGCAGGGCAGATGGACCTCACAGTATGTAGTCTATGAGTTAGTACACACACATTTGCATGACAGTGCACCCAAGAGTCTGGAAGCAATCCATGTCATGCTCTATGACTGCATCACGAAAAGCCCATCGCTATGCACTTATAGATTTATTAGCCTTTTACCCGTAATATTTATATAAACCACAACGAAGTTCTAAAATTGTAGACATTTTTAACACATCAGATGTAAATCCAGGTCTTGGCAGCCGAACGATCAGCTAGTTTCAGTTTCCAGGACCAATCAGCTTCACTTGGACATGCTAGAAGCCATAAACAAAATTCAGATATATATATTAGATAGATAGATAGATAGATAGATAGATAGATAGATAGATAGATAGATAGATAGATAGATAGATAGATAGATAGATAGATAGATAGATAGATAGATAGAGAGATAGATAGATAGATAGATAGATAGATAGATAGATAGATAGATAGATAGATAGATAGATAGATAGATAGATAGATAGATAGATAGATAGATAGATAGATAGATAGATAGATAGATAGATAGATAGATAGATAGATAGATAGATAGATAGATAGATAGACAGATAGATAGATAGACAGACAGACAGACTACACCTATCTGATGGTCCTAATTGATCACACACACCCTCCCCACGTGGTCCCTGTGGTTTAAATCACAAGAGGGAGTGCGCCAGGCCTGCGTGCCTATTCCCTGGTCAATATGTCACAGCATGAACGCCTGGTTACACATTGAGGCCGAGGAAAGGAATGGGAGGCGCGGGGTACAGTCTGCGCGTTCCCGCGTGAACCCCAGCGACCCCACGTACATGCACGCACCTACCAGCCACCCTGTTGCTGGGCAGAGCGGCGCTCGTTTTTTTTTGTTTTTTTTTACGCCCAAAAGATTTTTCTTCCTTTATTTCCAGTTGTCTCCTGGGATTTTTCCTTATATGTTGGAAACAGAACGACAAAATTAAAACAAGGATGGAAGGGGGGGGGGGGGGCGGATTGGGCTTGTCCTGTGACCCCCTCCCACCCCACCCCACCCCACCCCACCCGTCCGTCCACCCCCTCTAATGTCTGGAGGAATTTACTGCATTTTGCGGCACAATGGGCTTCATGTAGACCGACCACAGAGTACCTAATCCGGCCTTTGTCTGGAGATGAACCGCTTCAACTCTTACCATCCAAAAGCATAACTCGCTTATGAAGATGGAATGCATTAATTCAATCTATTGCAGTGTTTTGCTATTTAAACGAGGATTTGGGATTAGAAAAAGAAGATAAAGGCATATATATATATATTATTCCACAATGTATGTTTTCCTTTTCATATACTCCAACTGTTCAACAGTGACAATTGTAGTTATATTAATGCAGCTTAAACCTATCATTAAGAACCTATAGCGTTCTCACCCTATAACTAAGAATAGGCTACTACAAGATAAAAAGAAAAAAAAAGAAATATGCCAGTGAAACGGAAATGTTACACCTGCATGTCCTCCTCCTAATTACGCACATCCCTCTCGCTACCTTTTACCGAATTAGTGAAATATAACAGCAGCGCTGCACTATTACAACATCTTAGTAAATCGATGCGAAGCCTCTGTCCATGTGGCTGATGTCACATCAACATTTAGATGGGAGCTGCGTCTCTATCCGGACATTTCCCACGTTTCATTAAATCCTCGTCCAAGTGCAGGTGTGATTTGATCCACGCACGTGCGCGCCGTCTCGCTCCCGAACGACAGACCGAGGCACAGCGCCGGGCTCACGCGCAGGGTGGGTCCCCGGTGGAGCGGTGGTCTTACCGTTATGCGCGCACAGCGGGATGATGACCATGGAGATGGTCAGCAGCACCTGCCAGGTCCCCAGTCGACTGTCTCCGCGAGCCATAGTGCGGGTTGGCTTTCTCCCTTGACACGCTGATAACAATAATAATAATAATAATAAATAATAATAAAAATAAAAAATAAAAAAAGATTTGATCTGATCTTGTCCCCTTCTTCACACCGGTCAGATGCGGCCGCGATTAATCCAGATCAAAGCGGATCCTGTCAAAGTTCAGATCTGCTCCGTTTTGGTCATGCCGCCTTCTGCTTGGCTTAACAGCGAGGGGACGGTCCCATTGTCCCCAAGCGGACGGCCTTGTCCCTCTCGCACCGTCTTCGCTCGCGCGTTTCTCTTGCTTCTCGGTGCGCCTTCGGGGTTCGGTCGACAGACAGACGGACAGACGGACAGCAGCGCCGCCAGGAGTTGGAGTTGTAGTTGTAGCGTAATGACGCGCGCGACCGACGGAGGGGTCGGTACCGTAGACGAGATTTTAAAGACGCGAGTCTCTTCGTGCCCGTCTGCCTGTCTGATCGGTACGGAACAGCGCGCGCAGAGTGCGCTCCGGTGTCAAAGTGCCCGGCGTGCACACACTCACTCACACACACACTCACACGCACACACACGTCGTTACACACCCACACGGTAAATGCTCCTCCGAGTCCAGCTTCAGCGTGTGGGGTTCGTGTGGAGTGGGAGTGAACGTGGGGGATTTACGCGGCGTCTGTTGTCATTTGCACGTCAATATGCTCCATTTTACACCCCAGCTCAGATGCATGATGTGGGCCCCCACTTTGGCTGGCGTTTATGTGTCAGTAGGTTATTGGGTGCACGCTGCCTATAACTGTCAGCAGAAATGGGTGTGTACGCGCACAGGATTGGATAATCCTCTTTATGTTTTGCTATAGACTTGAGACAATGGCATATGCTCCTTAATCACTTTGTCATGCAGGACAGGCGTGAGGTCAAAGAGAACTTGACGTCTGTCCCTGACTTTACTGCATTCAACACAATGACCAATACAGCAGTCAGTGGCAGTTTTTGATGCAGGGGATAAGGCTGTCTTCAGACTGTTAGAGGAAAATTCTCTCAATTGCACACAAAAATAGTGTGCATTGCCTATGCACATGTCAGTCAGTGGGATATCCACCTCTGGACAAATTTTCTTCTGTTAGTGCAAGAAAATATTACACTGCCACTGACTAAACTGAATCTGGAGTCTGATCTTTTGCACTTCAACTGGTCAACGCTAAACTGGCTTATTGTTACACTGAAAAGAGATTTTCTTGTGAAAAGTAAGAAGTGTTGTCCGTCGGTTTGTATGCGGGAGTGGGTGCGTGTTTGTGTGGGGCAGCAGATCGAAGGAGAGGCGTCATGCAAGATCTACTACTTGCTTGAAATTTACAAATACCAAGTAAAACAACGAAGGGAAAAAAAAGGCGTGTCTTTTTATGCATGTAAGCTTTTGCTCATATGTCAGCTTATATATATTTTACTCAATCACATTTCCTCATCTGTTCCCTTGTAAGTGGGAATAATCACAGTTCACTGGCACTAATCCAGCAAACAAGAATAGCCTGCAGAGGGCTGTCATCCCATTCCTCTCCTAAATTGGATCATGTAAGAGACATTATGAAATAATTAGGATTGAATGCATTGATTTCAGTGAATTAGTTGCTCTGCCATTTTTATCGGTAATTGAATCTGGAATTGAATTGAGATGAACCTCTGCTATACAGATATTTGCATGCATCCTTGGTAAAGATGTGTACCAAAGCCTAAAGATAGATATTTTATTTCTTCTGGATAATCTCACACAACATGTTTTCATTTTTATTTTTTTTTTAGAAGAGGCACGCTCTAAGTTTAATACATTCTTTTTAGAAGACAAGAAATCTCATGTAAAGAAATAATTGCATTTCATAGACTCCCGAGAAGCACAATTATTAGGACCCTGTTTTAATTTAAATGTAGTTTTAGCAGTTTTTTTTTTGTGTGTGTGTGTTGTGTGCCTCGGCCAGACGAGAGTGTTATGTTTTGCGACGGTTTATGAATCAATTATATGAGAAACTTAGAGACTCTAATGGCAGTTTAAATGGTTTACTGCAACAAGATGGAAATGATGAGTCTTGATTTTTTCACACACAAACGAGGTCAATTCTTGTTTGGAAGCAGGAAGGAAGTATTGCAGAAACTCGAGTGGTAAATGAAAAGAATGGTCTAACTGCTTGCGTGATTTTCTTGTCGTCAGTGCTCAGGCTGCAGAGGACAGCTTGAAATGTCAAAATGGCTGACATAAGAAGTAGTAAGAAGTAAGAGTTGTTTTGTTGGTTGGTGGCTCGACTGACGATGTGAGGATTGTGGGTGGACAGGCAGATCGGTGGTGGTAAAATATTGGTTTGTTTTCTCCCTTTCCTGTGACAGCAAGTACTTCAAAGTGAGTAGGTTCAGGTTCAGACGCTGGCTTGAGATTCCATGGCATAACCAGGATGTGGTAATTAAACCGAAGAGTGCTCCCAGTCTTCAAAGCCACACGGAAACACATGGAGCTGAACCCTGATGAGATCAACAGGGTGACATATTTACAGGCAATGGGAACTGATGGAGAGGTCTGACTTGCAGGAGGTGCTTATCTCCAAACATCATTGGACAAGAGTCACTCTGGACTGACTGCTAGATCGTCTCAGGTTCTGGAAGTACATGAACATAAAAACTAAATAGTTTTTTTTTTCATAAGAATTTTTTCCCCCTCCTTTTCATTTATTATTCTTTCTGTGTTCTGAGTAGAAAGTGTACAAAAATACCACAACATTGTCTTTCATTGTTCAACTGAACTAATATTGTCATGTTTTAGTATGGTCCCATCAGCCCATGCTTGCACACACAGAGAATATGCCTTCAGATAGAGGTTTCTGACAAACAATTTGGGTTGTTTGGACTGAAACAAATGACAGCATTTTGTGGAAAAACCCAATTTTGGTCATTAAAAAAACCATTGCCAAATGCTTTTTAATTGGTGGAAGATCTACTGCGTGGATCTTGTGATACGTGGATCAACCCCTGTGAGGTGAGCTGCAGAGAAGAGCATAAAAGAGAGGACCAAAGACTCTGGATGAAGGAGGGAAAAAATGTGCAAAGGTGAATGATTTAAATCTGCTTCAACCTTGTGAAACTGTATTAAAACACAAATTTATGCCATCCTGCTGGCAGAAGGTTGTTGTACAAATATAAACAGGAGTGGCGTAAATAACTTGGGTCCTACATTATAAAATATTTTTGTGTTTTCAACTAAAGAAATGTAAAATTAAAAGGTTTCAAAATGGTCTCAGTGACGCTTTATACAACTGGGGGGGAAAAAAAGATGGATTCATTTAAAACCTTTTTATGTGTTGCACCTGCTCTTTCGCCTCATCCGATTTCATATTCTATCGCATTAAGAAATTATTTATTTTTTTACTTTATATTCCCATAATTTAAACAAACCAGAGAGCATTTTCTTTTTCCAACGACGAGTGCTGTGATGGGAGCGAGCGTGGACTGTCACAAAACGGGGGAGACGGAGAGTTTTGCAGGATGAAAATAGATGGGTGAGTGTTGAAGAGGGGGAGCAGAAGAATGGTGCAGTCTGACAAAACACACACACACACACACACACACACACACACACACAAAATATCACACTGATGTACTGCCAAACAGAGCAGAACAAAATTGTTCCCGCTTCCACCTACCATCCCTGCACACACTCGCACGCATACACACACAGTATGTCATATGGATACACGGATTCGATGTTTAACTTTTCACATTTTTTTACAATATGGCCAGTATTTGCATCTGGTTATTTGGTTGTATTTTTTTCTGGGCGAAAAAAGTAATGACCAGACATACACATGAAGAACAAGAAGGGTTATTTTCATGGGGATGAGCAGATGGATGGGACCCAGAGGGGAAGAAAAACACACCTTAGGTGACATCAAGCTTTATGTGTGTGTGTGTCCCTTTGCATGTGGCGCTCGGGCCGCGTGAGTTGCTTCCTGTTCCCATGTTGAACAGTGAGAGGTGCACAGGACGTCCAAAATTCCTCCAGTGCAAACGGCTGAAACCTTCTCTCTGCGTGACAAAGACTATGCTCACACATGTCTCGCAACACGTCAAGAAATTGTGAATTGTTTGCTTGCTGAGGTTAGATTCTTAATCATTTCAAAACAGATTAAAGAAATTGAAATAGGCTTCACAATATATTGCTTATATCATATTGTGTTGATGTTGGTGACGTATCACAGGAATTTACAAATTTTTGAAGGTTAGAGCTGCTAAAAATAGTCAAAAGAGGATAAACTATATACTTCTTACATTTTTTAGCTGTCATCCCAGTGTCTGAAAAAAAAAATCCCCACATTGGTATTTTAGTTTAGGTCACTTTTTTACTGGTTCAAACGTTGGTACACGGAGGAATCCTTAAAAACATAACTTTTTTTTTTTTCCAGTGACCTCCAGCTTTATACAGGTTTTTATGACGCTTATGTCATGGACACAGATGGCTTTGTAACTCTACAGCGCTGATCATGCATGAGACCTGCTGAGAATAGGCTCTGGGAGCTTTGGATGTCACATCTATTAATATGTTTTCACTGGCGTTTTCCTGCTGCGTTCTATTATGTTCCTTCCTACAGCTACTGTATGCTTCTGTTGCACTTTTGCATTTGCAAATCTCTTCTTGCAAAGAGATTTGCAACCTGACTCACATCAGATGCTATATGGGTATTACTTTGAGGATAAAAATTAGGTTTCCCATTTTTTCCAAACGAGGAAGGTGGTGTGTACAATCTCTACTTTCTGCTTTCAGATAAAAAAAAAAATAAGTTGAGAAAAATATTTGAACAATTGCATATATTTCAAAAGTATATTATTTTCATTATCATTTTACTTTTACAAGAAGGCCAAATCACATCACACCAGTGTGATAATAATTTAGGGGTTATTTGAACCTATTCATTTACAGAATTGAATGCTTGAATAGACTGCATGGCATGTTGGTTTGAACCCATGCACAACATCCGTTGTTCTAATTATTATTAATTATTTTTGGCTCTATATCACGTACAGTTCAGGGACAATCCAATCTTAACGCACCAATCTGGTTCAGTCTTACTTACTTACCCCTTTGCTCTTTGAGTGATTTGTAAAAATTTCATCTTACGCCCCGCAATGTTCCAACTAAAGATAAACCCATCCAAGTAAATACAAATGCAAAGTAAAAGAAATCTTATTCCTGACACTTTTGCAAAAGTAAAAATAAAAAAAATTAGCCAAACACCACAACACTGCAGCAAGTAGCTCATGTGCAAAAGAATTTAGTTGAAAATTTGTTCTGTGTATAGAATGTGTTTCCCTTTTAGGCAAAGATGGGGGAGGGAGAAAAAAAAAAGCAGATTGCATGCAGCTTTTACTAACTTTATTTTCAGCAATAAAACCTATAAAACCACAAAAACACAGTTTCAGATGAGTTCATCCCTATTCTCAATGCTAGGACCTCCAGACCCCTTGATGTGGAATCAACAGGAGTAATTTGCAAACTGTACAGTTGAGTAAGCTTGCAAACATAACACTCTAAAATGTCCTTCATTGATAGTAAAGCCAATTGCAAAGTTGTAAGAGAATGGAAGTTTGATCTTTTGATACGAAATAACTTTTGTATCAAAAGCTAAA